GATCCCTAAAACCCCAGACAGGGCCCTGCATGAGCAGGGGACAAGGGAACTGCTGGAGTGATGTGGGCTGCCACAGGCCCAAGGCCCATACCCAGCATTGTACCTCCAAACTGATGACTTCATGTGTACCAGGGGAGAAGCAGTGGCGGTATGGCTTAAACTCCTGGGGGGGTGTTGTGTGCTGTGCCCTGCAGAGTCCTGCGTGGCGGAGGGAGACCCTCACTACCTCACCTTTGACAAGCAAATGCACCACTTCATGGGGAACTGCACCTACACCCTGTCCAAGCTGTGCGCGCCCAACAGCACGCTGCCCAACTTCAACGTGGAGGCCACCAATGAGTACCGCGGAGGCTACACGCACGTGTCCTACGTCCGCGACGTGGCGGTGGATGTGTACGGCCACAGGATCACTTTAGAGCAGGGCAGAGTGGTGACGGTGAGATCTGAGTGATGGGAGAGGGTGAGGAGGGAGGTGCCTGTTAGCTTGCCAGTACCAACCCCAGTGCCCTTTCTTCTCTCCAGGTGGACGGGAAGCGGGAGATTCTACCCTTGGAGCCATCCACAGGTCTGACAGTCTCCTCCAGCGGCATGTACGTGGTGGTGACCACAGATTTCGGCCTGAGAGTGAGATTTGATGGGAACCATCGCGTGGAGGTGACGCTGCCGATCACGTTCAAAGGACAGGTGTGCGGGATGTGCGGGAACTACAACGAGAACCCAGCGGACGACTTCCTGAATCCCCAGGGCGGGATGGAGCCGGACTCGACCAGCGCCAGGTCCCCAACCACAGCAGGTAGGTAATGCTGCCGGCAACCTTGGTGCTGTTCAGGCAGTGTGCACTGTACAAGGAAAGCCCTGCACCAACCTGAGCCGCCTCTCTCTTTGGTTTTTTCTCAGCTGCCCTCCAGCTGTAGATAAGCCCCCTATATGCAACCAGACCACCCAGCAGCTGATTGGGAGCAGTCAATTCTGCGGGCTCCTCAAGGAGGGGACCGGCCCGTTCAAGCAGTGCCACGGTGTGCTCCGCCCTGACGCATACTTCAACAACTGTGCCTACGACCTGTGTGCGCTGCAACTGGAGCCCGGGGCCCTGTGCCGGAGCCTGCAGTCGTACGCGGACGCCTGCCAGTCCCTGGGAGTCACCATCGATGCCTGGAGGAACGCCACCTTCTGCCGTGAGTCAGGAAACAAATGCCCAGGGCTCCTTCCATGTTTCTAGGCTCCCAAGAAGCTGATAGGTAGTAGGCCTGAACAAGGAAGGACATGGACCTGGGAACCTCCAAGACGACTAAGGACAGCCTCTTACCTTGAATGATTATGTTGTATCCTGCTGTCTTGCCATTGCACTGAACCATGGGGAGACTGGTGTGAATATGGGGTACTCAGGCCATAGAACTGACAGTGTCTTCACTGTCCATAAGCAGACATGAAGATGGGTTGGGATGACACTGCAAATGCCATGTCCAGGGTTGATCAGGTGGCCAGGAGAGTCCATTAGCGCAACAGTTCCCTTGATATATTTCTCTTGTTTCCCGCAGCGATCCAGTGTCCTGCCAACAGTCACTACGAGCCATGTATGACCGCCTGCCCCGCAACCTGTGCCCGTCCCCTAGCTCCATCCACTTGCGGCCGACCGTGTCTGGAAGGGTGTGTGTGCGACAGCGGGTACCTGCTCTACAATGACCGGTGTGTCCCCAGTGGGCAGTGCGGGTGCTGGCACGAAGACCGTCACTACCCTGTTGGCTCTGAGTTCTGGACTGACGATACCTGCTCCAAGAAATGCAGATGCCCCGCTGCAGGCAGCAAGCCGATGTGTGCTGTGGCCTCCTGCCCCCGGGACTATTACTGCGGGGTGCAGAACGGCATCCCTGGCTGCTACCCCCACACCTACGGCATCTGCCGAGTGCACAACGACCCGCACTACAACACTTTTGACAAGGCAACTCACCACTTCATGGGCACCTGCACCTACACGCGGGCCAAGGTGTGTGGCAGCAACAGCACCCTGCCCCTCTTCAACGTGGAGGCCAAGAATGAGCATCGCGGGAACCCCTGGGTGTCCTACGTGCAGAGGGTGCGAGTCGAGGTCTACGGGCTGCGCATAGACATCGTGAGGAACCATCGCAGCCGAGTGCTGGTAAGTGGCAGGGCTTCCACAGGGGCCACTGGGACATGCAGGAAGCTCTCTTATGCATTTCTTCATGCCCATTCACGTTCCTGTTTGTTGAAGCCGTTGACTGGCGGCTCTCCCACTGAGTCCTTTATGCCCAAAGCTGCTGTATTTCCCTTTGTCAAGGGCCCAGAGACCCAGTATGACCGAGTAGGTGTTTCATGGTGTAACATGCTCAGAGCTGAGTAGAAAATGGAAATGGCCCTCAACCTCGTGCACGGTAACAGCTGGAGTGGCCAGATCCTGCTTTCTTGCTCTGGTCTCCCAGACAAGTGTCTTAGGTCATCACTGGGGAAAAGAAGAAAGCAAGGGAGAAGAGATTGATGTCATATATCTTGACTTAAAAAAAGCCTTCGATCTGGTATCCCATGATCACCTGTTGGTGAAACTGGCCAATTGTGGCCTTGGATCCAGAACAATCTGCTGGCTGGGGAACTGGATCCGTGGTCGGACCCAGAGGGTGGTAATTGTCGGAAGTCAATCATCATGGTGCCCTTGGACCCATACTGTTCAACATCTTCATTAATGATGTGGACACTGGAGTCAGAAGAGGACTAGCTAAGATCACTGATGACACCAAACTTGGGGGCAAAGCATCCACACCTGAAGACAGGAGGGCGATCCAGGCTGACCTGGACACGCTCAGCAAATGGGCAGATGAGAACCTGATCGTGTTTCACACTGAAAAATGCAAGGTTCTCCACCTTGAAAGCAAAAACCTGCAGCATCCTTATACACTCGGCAGTGCTACACTGGCTAGCAGTCTGGAAGAAAGAGACTTGGGGGTCATCATTGACCACAGGATGAACATGAGCCTGCAATGTGATGCTGAGGCTAGTAAAGCGAACAAAACGCTGGCTTGCATCCATAGATGCTTCTCAAGCAAATCCCGGGACGTCATTCTCCCCTTGTACTCGGCCTTGGTGAGGCCACAGCTGGAGTACTGCGTCCAGTTTTGGGCTCCACAATTCAAAAAAGATGTGGAGAAGCTTGAGAGAGTGCAGAGAAGAGCCACGCACATGATCAGAGGTCAGAATAACAGACCTTACAATGACAGTCTGAGAGCCATGGGGCTCTTTAGCCTGGAAAAGCACAGGCTCAGGGGTGATCTGATGGCCACCTATAAGATTATTGGGGTAACCACCAGGATCTGGGGGAACGTTTGTCCACCAGAGCGCCCCAAGGGATGATGAGGTCAAACGGTTATAAACTACTGCAAGATCGTTTCAGGTTGAATATAAGGAAAAATTTCTTTACTGTCCAAGCCCCCAAGGTCTTGAACAGCCTGCCATTGGAGGTGGTTCAAGCATCTACATTGAACACCTTCAAGAGTAAATTGGATGCTCATCTTGCTGGGATCCTATGACCTCAGCTGACTTCTTGCCCTTCAGGCAGACGGCTGGACTCGATCTTCCGAGGTCCCTTCCAGCCCTAATGTCTATGAAATCTATGA